CGGGTTCGAATTCGGGTAGCGACCAAAACATTTTCTTCTCTAAAATTGCCTCCTTTTACCTCATTTCCTGCTCTCTAGGAATGTTCTGTTGTCTGCTTTCGTCTCCTCTTTTCTGCCCCAGCTCCCTCACCTCCTTTGCCCCCTCCTCTGGGCTCCTGACTCTTTCTGCAGCCTTTCTACTGCTACTCCTTGGCTCCTTCTTACTACTGTCTTTCAGCCACACCCCTGATCTTCTGGTAGGAACGTTCTACACCTAGCCTTCTCGGACAAGGGCAACCAAACTCGGAGATCCCGTGTGCAAGTTGCGCACGTTAAAGATACCAAGGACCAGCAAGAAGCACACACGAACAGAACTCGGTGAAGGCTGACAGCACTCACAGCACTCACAACACAACAAACCATGCAACGTGGGAAAACACTGATGTGTCTACAGCCATGTGTCTACAGCCGTGTGTCTACAGCCATGTGTCTACAGCCATGTGTCTACAGCCATGTGTCTACAGCCGTGTGTCTACAGCCGTGTGTCTACAGCCATGTGTCTACAGCCGTGTGTCTACAGCCGTGTGTCTACAGCCATGTGTCTACAGCCATGTGTCTACAGCCATGTGTCTACAGCCATGTGTCTACAGCCATGTGTCTACAGCCATGTCCACACAATGAAGCAAATCACTCAGCCTGGCTGGTATTAGGCGATAAAAGAATGAAAATAAACAAAGAAAAAAATAAAGAAAGAAAAAAATACATAACATAAAATACATAAATACATCAATACATTAAAACATAAATACATAAATAACAAATACGATTTTAGAAATTAATACATATATAAACAAATAGATAGATAATAAATAGACGGATAGATCAATAAATAAATAATATTAAATAAATAAATAAATAAATAACCAAATAAACAAACAAATAAATGAATGAATGAATAAATAGACCACTCAAAGCTGAAGCACTGCCGAACAGATCTGCACAAGGCACTCAAGACTACCAGTAGGAGAGACAAACAGGCGGGAAACAGCGGAGAGCATGACAACATCGATGGAACAAGGGGAAGTAATTCACACGACTCGTGGAGCAGGAAGAGCTGGATTTCTTACCCTTATCACTTCCGGGCATGCGTAATGAGGGGATCTGTGGGAGGGACATGGTCATCATCATCATCATCATGGATAAATGGTCAGTGTTTTAGTGACGTCTGCTTGGACATAACCTGGTTTATTCATCCCAATTTGTCTTTTTGGTCTGGGTGTTTATCTATTTCAATCAGAGAGGGTTTTATAGTAGACGGTTTTACGGCGCTCGCAACTGCATAAGGTCATATGAGCGCCAAGGGGTGTGTGTCAACAGAGAAGTCTTTACAGGGAATCAGACTTACTCTGCTCACCTCTTTAGCTTCAACAGTACAAGGTCTGCTTCAACTATCAAGGCACCCCGGAAATAGCAGTTCACAAGAGAGTGACAAACATACAAAAGAAGTAGAGGAAAAATGACAATAGTATGAATTAGGAAAGAAAAAGCAGCAGTTCCCTGTTGTAGATCAGGCACAGTTATGAGCGTGACATGAATCAGCCCATTTACACTTCTACTGTGCTTGAACGGAACGTGAATTTGTCTCCTTTGGGAATGGCCTAAAGACACTTCAGTCAGTGGTATTGCCTCGGGAGGTTCAGAGAGGGCTTACAGTAACATTACTGGAAACTCTCTGATTTCAAAACGTGCACGTAGGTGAAGCACTAACATGTATACATTATTATAAATAATTTCCTATTGTTTGTGTTCAACATAAGGAAATTTTACTTTTAGTACAGGTTTTACGGCGCTCGCAACTGCATTATAAGGTCATATGAGCGCCAGAAGATTAGAGGTGTTACAAGAGAGTAACAAAC